CTTGGTAGCTTCTCGCAAGAGCAACAGGAAGCACAGGATCTAATCCTCTGGTATCAGGGCGTGGGCAAAGGCGTAAGTGGAGAATTTATGGCCGGGTAGATATGTCCCAGAACTGGGCTGCCCAGGACAGTAGCCGTTGAGCACTGAAAAAAGTGGATTCGCAACTAAGGAATTTGTATTTATATTTAATTTTAGTGCAAATAGCCATATGGGTAAGTGGCTACCATATGGGACAGTCGGGTGTAGAGCATGCAAAACAGGACAATGTTCCATTTAAAAACCGGATCTAGAGGGGCGCCTGGGTGGCTCAGTGGGTTAAGCGACTGCCTCCGGCTCAGGTCATGATCCTGGAGTCCCGGGATCGAGTCCCGCATCGGGCTCCCTGCTCAGCAGGGGGTCTGCTGCTCCCTCTGACCCTCTTCTCTCTCGTGCTCTCTCATTCTCTCTCTCTCAAATAAATAAATAAAATCTTAAAAAAAAAAAAAACGGATCTAGAAGCGTGATGGTTGGGAAGCATGGATACATGACTGAGGCCTGCCTGGTAGCCCCTGAGGGCTGGGGGGGAACACGGTCCAGTCCTGGAATTTCAAATCTCAAAAGTTCTTAGGCCCAACCAGCTGATAGTTTATTTTTCCTAAACTAAAATGTTCAAACCAGCTGATGATGGTGGGGAAAGGTATGTTCTGTCTCAGCCAAATGCTGGGGTCCAAGGCAGCTGGCAAAGCATCTTAATGCCTTTATACATACTTTTTATGTACAACCATCCGTTAATGCCAGTTACATGTAGAGTTTTGTTTAAACACCAGGATTCTTAGGCTTAAGTACACCAAACACCCAGGCCTGGGAGCCTTCTACTGTAGAGTGGAGTGTTCCTGAACCCACCAACCTACAGTTCTGTGGCTGCCCTGTGATGTTCTGAGATACCGACTTCTCCCTGAGGGGCTGGGGGGAGGGCTCATGGGGACTGAAGCTGGAGGGCCTGCCAGGTGGTCACACTGTTCTCTGCTCTTGCTGCAGCGGAGTTCTTAACATGTGGAGAGCCAGGCTCTAAAACGCTATTGAAAAACTAAGCCCCGCTCCACACACACTTGGTGCTCTAAGTCGGAAGTGCTGCCTCGGCGAGGGGCCTGGGTTGTCTGCATCCACTCTCCAGGGTGGGCACCGGGATTTCAGAAGAGCCTCTCCCCCAGGGCAGTTGGCTCTTCCCTGTCTGGCCTTCAGTGTCCCCATGTCAGGACTAAAGGTGTTGAACTTTAGTTCAGAGGTTATGATTCGGGAGATGAGCCCAGCCCACAGCGGAGGACTGGCATCAGCTGTGGGTTATCAGGGTGGCTTGTGTTGCAGGTAAGAGCTGAGCCCCAGTGGCTTCAGATAGGAAGGGAACGGTCTGTTTCATGGAAGCAACAGCCCAGAGAGGGTCAGTAGCAAGGCCGCCCAGGGCCCTCTCATCACTCGCCCTGGCTTCTGGGGTGTGGGCTCCCCACTCAGCATTCTCACTGGGCCACGGTCCCTGTCTCACCTGAGTGTCTACCTTTGGCCAGAAAACGGGCTATACTGGGTGGTCTCAGCTGACCTGACCACCATAAGCTGGGACCATGGAGTCCGCTTGAAGGCATGTGGGCACGTGGTGGACACCCGAGCAGAAATCTGGATAGTGGGAGGGGGTTGGAACGGACACCATGTGACAGTGAGTGCCCACTCAAGGTGAACTCGGGTTTTTAGGTTTTCTGGGGCAAAGAATCACAAGATGTGCCCGGACTCTGCCTTTTCCTACTCAGCTGGTTGTGGGCTGTTGCTGACCAGGCCCGAGGCCTTCACTGCCCTTACGGTCTCGTGGGTAACCTGTTCCACGCTCCTAATGACATGCTTAGCCCACGTTGGTGCCTGGTTTCGTCACTCGATAACCTCCTGTCGTGTTGAGTCACTCCAGGCCAGCACCATCCTGGTTGCCAGGAGGGGACACAGAACAGGCACCTGGCTGTTCACAGGTGTTCACAGGCTGTTCACAAAAGCCATAGGTTCTGGCCTTTGTGAAGTCTGAGGAAAAGTGTGAGAAACATCGTGCTGAGTCCGAGCAAGGCCCGCGGCGTGTGTAAGGAGTTTTTCTGCCGTTGCCTGTGGGACCTCGGGGAGCTCGGCTCCGCAGACATGCGCTCGCACGTGGCCTCCGGTGCTGTGGGCCCTGCACTGCGCGGGTAGAGAAGGTGGCTCCCAGTCTGCGGAGGCCCGTCAGCCTGTGCCGAGAGGCCGAGGGCCAGCAGGAGCCCTGTTGAGATGGGTCCGGTCCAGGGACACAGGACAAAGGAAGAGGGAGATGGGATTGGGGAGTGCAGAGACAAGGGACCCCAAGCCCCACGACACAGCCTAAGGGAGGCAGCGGAGGGACGGGCTCAGATGGAACGTTTGGCAGCAGCCAGCAGGACAGACGGGCTTGTGGCATCAGCCAGCACGAGGGATGGGGCTGTGTGGTCAGGTTTGAGGTGGGAAGATCTGAAAACACTTCTGAGTGGGATGTGCACTTTCCTCCCTGATGGAAAGAGGGCAGTGCTACACGTGGCCTGGAGGTGCGCTTCACTGACAGAAAAGGGAGCCGGGGAGGAGGGGCAGGTTTGGGGACAGCGGTCAGTTGTGACCACAGCAGTGGGCTCAGTGGAGGTGCGTTAAAGAAGGGAGAAACCTTTCTGAAAATGTCCCATTTTTAAGTGAACGTTGAAGAATACCATGTAAAGAAAATGCTGGACTTTTCACAAAGCAACTGCGTATAACTAGAAGCAGATCGAGAACTAGAACATTCCCCGCCCTCCCAACCCCCCCCCCCACACACACACAGACCGGCCCTTCTCCCAGACCAGGCTGGCCCCTCTGGCGTGGTCCTCACACGAACCGAACGTGCAGCGTGCCCTCCTGTGGCGCTCCGTTGCTGTGTGGCGTTCACTGGATGGAAGGTGGTTGTCCCTTCTCCTGGTGACAAATGTCTAGGCTGTTTCACGGGACTGCTCTGAGTGTCCTGGTGGGGGGGGGGGGGCTCTCTGCCCATTGCACGTGTGCGCTGCTGGGACCGGCGGTGGGGGAGGCTTGCCGGGGTGCGGGGTCCACACCGGGACCCAGGTCCGGCCCAGCACTGAATGGCTTCAGGCTGTCCTAAGTTACTCTCGCCGTCCCCCCTCACAGGAGCTGTTACTTCTTGCCGCTTGGCTTTTGGTGGACTGTGACGCATCTCTGCTGCTGTGTTTGCTTCTCTCGAGTGGGTCCGGGCCAAGTACTCAGATCGCACAGCTCGTAAACATGTAGCTAAATTCGTTGTCGAGTTGGGTCAGTCAGGGCTCAGGAGGCCCTCCTGGGCACAGGCCACCACGCCTTCCCCTGGAGAGCAGCTTGCGGGTCCTCGGGGAGGGTTGTGTGTCTGGTTTCCAATTCAGGGTACACAGAGCTTTCCTCAGACTTGAGGACGCACCCGGCAGGGAGATGGTTTGCCCCCAAGGAAAGGCAGCAAGAAGGTGGCTCCCAGTGAGAGTATCAAGGAGCAAGAGGGCTGTGTGCCTCTGGGGCCAAGCACATGCCTCCGAGAGGCCACACCTGGGGAGTCTGCTTGGCAGGAAGTGTGCTTTCCAGGCCGGGAGGACGCAGGCGGCCTCTTCCCGGTGGGATCCAGTGCCTCCCCCGGGAGGGGCTTTCTGCTCTAGGCCCTACACCGCTGCCGGTGGTCTGAACACGCGTGGCACTGCAGGGCAGGCATCCTGATGCTTTTTAAATAAATTATAAATTAGCCTGTAACCATCATATAGAGTATGAGCGCTTCCCCAGAAATGGCTTATTCTGAGCCTGCTGGGGAAGTGCAGCACGCCTCGTAGGAAGAAACCACTTTGCAGCCATTTAAAGCCCTATTAGGATGTGCTGAGCAGGGCAGCTGCTTTGTGCATCAGTGATGAAAAGTAGACACTGAATCGGGGTGCAGGGCTGACTAGGGTGCCTCCTAACGCCGGCGCTCCCATCGGGATGAGCCTGCTGACCTGCCGGCCCCAGGGCTCTCGGTCACGCCCTGAGGTCCTCAGAGGCACAGAGACAACAGGAGCGGGTCTCAAGTGGCCCAGGTGCCCGCAGGCCCTCTTCGACTTCAAGAGTCTGTATGTCCAGCACCCAGGAGGAGCCAGGCAGAGAGCCCTGACCTGGGCTTCCGCCTCTAAGGATGGCCTTTGACCCCCAGGCTGGCAGCAGGCGGTCAGAGGAGCTGTCTGGTCAGAGGTCACAGGAATCCTGGGAGCTTTCGGGACGGTCAGGTCTGGTGTGGCGGCCTGTGGCTCGGATGGTGTCACACTGCCCTCTTCCTGGGCACCGTCCAGAGAGTTAGCCCCACAAGCTCGGGCCAGTGAGTTCTTGAACAGCCAGAGCAGATTTACAGCAGTGTAAAGCCTGCAAGCTTACAGAATGAAGGACAGAAGGTGCATACGCCCCCATGGTCCCTGGCCACACTGGGAGGCCCCCAAGTCCCGGGCTCTGGCGGTTCCTGAAGGCAAAAAACAGTGTTGGCATTGTTCCCTCTTCCCCCTGCCTTCTGGAACTTCCTACCAGATCTCTGGCCAGCTGTTGGCACCAGTCTGTGGGCACCAAGACCCAATGAGGTCTTATTCTTACTTACTGTCTTTTGATGGCATCATTCAGGATTGGGCTCCAAAAACCCAACTGCAGTCACTACAGGTGTGCAGCCGAAGGGCCATCGATGAGGAGCAGCCCATCCCAGCCTCCCTCAAATTCTGAGTCGTTCCAGCGCTTGTGAGGGTCCCTCCCTTAGGTTTTCTGTTCTTGTCCTTACTCTTTAAGTGACTTTAGAAAGACATCGGGATGGTCTCAAATGGACAGAGACTAGGGGGCACTTTTCTAAAACCGGCATTAGCCATATCTAGAGTCCCTTGTGCTTTAGATGGCTTTACCTTCAGGTCTTACTAAAAATGTCCCAATTTCATGAGCCTTCCATAAACTTCATCTTTATCTATTCTTCACAGAATGATGCAAATGGGACAGCAAAGCCTCCTTTCCTCAGGTATGTTGACCTTTGTCCGTGAGGGCTGTGCAGCCCAGGAGGCTCGACCCTGAGAGGCCTCGGGCCTGTGGGGTCTGAGGAGGATGCGGCCACCCTGTTCTCATCAGGCTGGGGAAGAGGGCCTGGAGGCTCTGCCAGCGTCTGCCCAGGTCCCAGAGGGAGGAGGCCTGGTCACGGGGGCGATGGGCAACTGAATCCAGACCCTGTCCTAGGTGGCTCTCCCGTTGCAGCATCTACAGTTCTGGAGAGTTCTGTAACTCAGAACTGCCACAGAGAAACGTTCAAGTTCACAAAGCGTCCAGAATTTTTTATAGAAGCCATAGATTTTCACAGAGCGAGTAAGAGTAGTTCACGGCTCTTTTAAAATCAAATTTCCATCTCGTAGTATTTCTGTAGCTGCGTTTTTCCTCCCCCTGCAGCGGAGAGAACCCCTTCGCTACCGTGAAACTCCGACCGACGGTGACAAACGATCGCTCAGCGCCCATCATCCGATGAAGGGAGGGCCCGGGAGCTCCAGTCCCTCCGTTAAGTTCTCACTTGCAAAATGATACAAATTGTTCAACGTGCTGTATCTGTTGTAAAGCTTCGCCAAGGGTGCCTGATTTTAATTGTATTCTACTTGAGCAAATCAATGCATTCTCTCAATTTAACATAGTTGGGTTGATACATTTCCATCTTTAAGAAGATAAAGAATAGTTGAGTTGGAAAGAATAGTTATCAACTCAGTCATTTAAAAATATATGTTCTGTTCATCAGAAGACAGTAAATTTGGTTCCAATCCTTACTGTATCATTTTTAAAATATTCTATGATTTTTTTTTAATGGCCAGAATAAGGGATAGTCTGTGCTTTCATGATTGGCTTTCTGCACCTGAATGCAGAGGAGACCAGTTTTAGTTATAAAGCATGTGCTCTCACCCAGCATTATGATGTTTATCCAAAGGAAATGATGTGTAAATTTGCATCTTAGCATGCAAATCATAATTGTAAGCAATATAAATTATGACTTATATAAAATTTAATTTTTTAACTTAAAAATTTTAAATTGGTTAATCGGATGTAGAGCTACCTAAGATGGAGGAATCCCCAAGTTTGATTTAGACGTACCTGTAGAGCGTGCGTTTTGCCTGACCCTGTCACAGCCATGATGTTTAGTACTCAAATAATCCCAAAGGTACTGAGTTTAGTAGTTTGGAGTCACCAGCTCCCCGACTCAGTGGGAAGAACACACCAGGCCGTGCGGCACGTGGGTCTGGCTCAGGGCATCACACGCGTGTGAGGGCCCCACACGAGTGACCCCGGGGTGTTCTCGCTGTGCTCGTTGATCGAAGCTGCCCCCCCCTCCCGCAAAGAGCACGTAGAAAGCCAGGAGCCTGAGTGTTGGCGGCTGGGATGGGAAGGCCTGCATTTCATCCGAGACCTGCCATCACAGCCTCAGAACTGGGGACTCTGAGCCAGTGGCCGAGTTTACCTCTGCTGCCGGGGGCTGGGCCCCGTTTTGGAGGAGTGCAGTCAGGATGCACCCCCAGGCCATTCGCTGCGTGTGGGCGCAGAGGGCCTTACTTACCACAGCTCTGTTGGTCTCGCCATAAATATCAACATCCTTCTATAAACTTGAAAGTGGTCACGGTCAAATGCAGGTAGACCAGTGGAAGCGTGTGACACTTCACGTTCTTGGTCCTGTCCTGGCTGCCAGGCGAACCGGGCGACCCCGAGGGCAGAGGAGTCAGACCTACGCGAGGGTCTTCCAGGCCGAGCTGGGCTGAGTGCCCCTGGCAAACAGCACACCTGTCCTGAGGGAAGACGCTCCAGCCAGTAAACCACAGTTCCATTTTGTTAAGTGGTCCACTGCTTCTCTCACCCTCGGAGTAGGAGGAGGGTTCGCAGCAGCTCAGTATTTGCAATGGGGGCGGGGGGCGGGGGGGGCCTCCCTGACCTCCGGAGCTCTGCTCTTCGGGCTCCTCCGGCTTTGTGACAGAGTCTCTCAGGTGCGGTCTCCGCAGGCTGGCTTGGCTCACCCGATCCGGTCTCGGCCTTCACAGAACGGACTGTGGTGGGCACACGCCTGCCTCACCGAGGAGGGGAGGGCTTGCCTCAGGTCCTGGGCACAGAGGTGCGTGCTAAGTAAGTGTCAAGGTATTAGGTTTCGTTATATTAATAAAAATTTGGAAAGCACTCTCTTGAGCTGTGACTGTCTACGGAGGACTAGATCAAGACCTGCCAAGGAGCTGGATGCTGCTGAAGCCAGGTGATGGGTATGTTGTTCTAGTCTGGTTACAGAAAATTTCAAACATGTACACGAGTTTGTCTATACAAGTAGCAGTGTGCACACGCTGAAGAAGCAGAACCAGGTAAACAATGGTATGAATCTCGTTTATTTAAAACAGTATTTCTCAGCTTTCTCAAATTGAAGACTGCAAAAAATAAAAGCAGTGCTTTACTGAGCTGTCATTCACCCCGGAGCAGTGCCGCTGTGTCCCCACGCTGTGACCCCTGCGCCCACGAAACTACAGCTCATGCCGTCTAGCCCACCTCGCTTTACAAAACAGTCCTGAAAGCTTAATCAAATAAAGCTACTGTACACAACATTTACATTAGAAAAAGACAGCTGGATGTAGGGAAGCCGGGTGTGGTGTTCCCGTTAAGTGAAGTTTGCTCCACAGTTGGGGCATCTTCGCTTCCTCAAGGCAAAACAGCAGATGAACCCAAATGGGAACAAGATGATGGCCAAGAAGATGCCCAGGAAGGTGAAGGAGTCCTCCAGAACCCCGACTCTGTGGAGAGAAGAGAGGGGCACTCGCGTTAGGGCCCCTGGCGCGTCAGTGACTGTGTCCCCAGAAGCAGTCTTTGCCCCTCCAGCAACGAGCTCGCCGGCCTGCTGCGCGTGCCGCTTCGGGCCAGCCACTACTGCTGCTGCTCCAGAGCGGGAAGGGGAGGGGAGTCAGCAGAAGGAACCCTCGCTTGTAATGACCGCGTTCCCTTGCCACGTTACCTACCGTGTTTCCTCCTGCGCTACAAAAGGACAAATAAGAAACAAATGCTAGTTTCTATAAAAATTCTTGTCTCTCTGAAAACTAGACCAAGAAAACCGAATCATTTTAGGGTATTTTTTCCCCACTATTGAAAAGTTTTATTCTTCCATCCCCTAGAGGGAAATTCCAAAAACTTGTTTCGGGAGAAGGTTAAAACAGATTTTACTGAAAGATTAAAATCAGCCAAATTCACGGTGTCTATAGGAAGACCGCTTATCTTGAGAAATTTAATGTTTCTTCTTCACAAAGTCAAGTTTACCTTCAACGTGTGTCACACACGCCGAGGGCTATCACCCCAACCATGTGCGAGGAGTGCAGGTTCAGTGACCTGTCACCACTCACATTCCAGAATCATTTTCAAAGGCAGGAAGCAGGAGCCTTGCGCTCAGCTCTGCCACTGCTGCTTAGGCTACTTCTGGAAAGCTCTGGACACAGAGCTGAAATGAAAGTGGTAACCGCAAGAGCCAGCTCAGCCCTAATGAGCAACGTTTCACATTCCGGAGAGCCAGGGAAAGTCGGTGGAAACAAGTTCCTCCCCAGGCGGCCAGGGACACCTTCAGCCTCGTCCGCCACACTGTGAGCCGAGGGCCTTTGTGAACAAGGCACTTCACCAGAATTCACCAGAACAAATATGCCAAAATCAGCCGGGCCGATGTACTGAGAAGGAAGGAGGGACTTCAGGGAGGGTGTCACTCCCTGCTGCACTCCCGGGGCCTGCCTGCCTTCATGGGGTGGACCCCACTCCCAGGCCATCCCCGCCTCCCCGCATTCACCCCAGCTGCCTCCGTGTCCCTGAAGCCACTTCCTCCTCTACCCACACCTCAGCTCCTTTGTCTTCAAACGCTGCTAAGGATCTCCTGTGCCCACAATGTTCTGGAGGCAGCTGCTTCTCGTTTTGCCACCGTGTGTGCAGAGGAGGTTCAGCTTAACAGAAGGTCACGTGTCAAGGTGAAGCACCCAACAGAAGACTTCCTCCACTTCAAATGCCACACCTGCCACGGCCGCCCCTTCTGAGCTCCGCTCCTGCCCACGCTGGGCCAGGGCTCCAGCCCGCACCCCCCAGCTGCGCAGAGAGCAGGCACGAGGCTGAGAATCGTGGTACTTGTAAACTAGACTCTTAGGAAGCCTGGCTTTCAACTGCTTAAAGAAAAAGTCACACTCGATGCCCGCTTCCCTTCCTACCCCCTCAGGAGGGAGTTGCCTAAAATGTCTACAAAGGACAGTGCCCTCTAGCGGCACTTCCCAAGGGGCTTGTCCTAAAACACCAGTTCCCCTGATAAGCTCTGCAGAAAAGAAAAGGACTTTTTTGATTAATTTGAGGAAACTCTTCCCCCTGCCCTGGAGTCACAGTGCACAGTTTAGGAAAGGCTCTGAGAAGTCCCGCAGTAAAGACCCCTGTTGAACTGTTTCAGCCAGCATTTCTCAGACTGACCTGTGTGCTGCCCAGTCAGCCTGCACCCAGGCAAGGCCGGATCTGAGGGCAAGCTGATCAACAGGCCTGAATTTACACCAGCAGAGTTACCTTTTCTTGTCTAGACTGCTATGAAAGTCTTGTATTAGGAGTCCCCTTTCTAAGGACTGCCAAGGTCGTCGGGCTCCCACATTGTTCCTTGGCCCTCCTGTGGCTGCCCCTGCCTGTGGGCGGCCAGACACAGCTGTGCAGAGCCCACCCCACACCCGCCCCCCCTGAGAAGGCATCAGAGGCATGCTACCCAAATCAGGGGTGAGGCTTCAGGGAGGCCCTGGGCCACACACGGGGACAGGAACGCACCTGCTCTGTCCACAGTCCTGGCCAACAGCTCCTGCAACTACGGCTGCGAATCAAGCCACTTTCAGACCAGCTAGAGGCAGCCAGGCGGCCCTGGACCACTCAAGAGCTTTGGTGCCACCCAGTCCCACCCACAGCTGAAATCCCAAGAATCACACCAGTTCACAGGGTCGGTTAGAATGCCCAAGGAAACAAGCGAGGACAGAAGTGAGCCAGGCCTCATAGATGGGTCACAAGCACCAGCTGAGAACCTTCCAGAGAAGCCTGCCCTCTAAAGGAGTTAGGAGGGTGCCTCGCCCAGCATCCCCCTCAGGGGCAAGTGGGGCCCAAGGGCCGGGACTACCTGGCTGAGCACCTCCCAGGCCGGACACTCCGTGTCATCCCACTTAAGGATCAAAGCCATTAAGCAGCACAACCGAGAACCCAGTTGTCTGCTCAGAGGCTCCAGATGTCCGGGAGGAGCCTGGGGCCAAGGCATATCCTGCTGTCCTCAGTGCCTGGGGCAGCCCTCTGAGCCCAGCGCAGTGTCCCCACAGCGGGGGGGGGGGCAGGAGCTACAGGTGCTGCCCGGCACACCTCCCTACACGAAGCCCCCTGTCGGAGGGCAGGCAGCTGTCGTGGGCAGCTTGCCCCAGCTGCCTTTCCCCGGGTGCTCCGCGGCCCTCGGCTGAAGGGAACTCGGGGTGCGCGGGGCGGGGAGGGGGACACACCCCCCCCAGGCCCTCCGTGCCCGTGAGGCCGGGAACCAGCCCTGCCCAAGCACGAAGCTTCCCAGTGGCCCCCACACCGTCTGGGCCCAACACTCCCCCTTGCTCTCGGCCCCTGAAGGTGCTCTGGGAACTTAAAAGGCAGAGCAGTGGCCTCGCGGGCCGACTAGGTGCCCCCTCCCCGCCCGGGGCTTCCCAGACA